TCATTAAAGATCCTGCTTTAGAGAAACAACAGAGAAGTGCCTCCGACAGTGACCTGAGGGACGTGAGCAGGAGAGCCTGGGGGGCTGGCAGGACCTGGGGGTCAGGGCGCTCGGGCAGGCACGGCCCCAACCCTGCAGGGATGCGCGGGGGCGGGGTGGGCGGACGGGGCCTCTGGGGCTTGTGGGGTTTCGAGGCTGGCAGGGGAGAAACTTGTTCCTCTGCGCTCTCCAGCTTCTCCAGAACGGACGTCACAACAGTAAATGTTTCCAGCAGGACCCCGTCACGGCGACTCGAAATCTCCATGCAAAGTCCTGGGAAAGAGCAAGTGCACAGCGCAGGGGGCACTGTGTCGCCCGGACCGCCCGAGCCGCCTCGCCCGCGTGTGACCCGGCCCCAGCCCCTGTACCAGAGCCTTTGTCCTCGGGTGGCTGCGTGCACACAGCCCTGTGCCTCGCCCAGCCTCCCGAGCCCTCGGACCTGGACCTCCCTAGATGAGGATTGTCCTGGGTGGGGCCGGGACTGCAGCCCCCGCCACAGAGCTCCCACCCGAGCCGGCTGTCTACACTGCAGCCCTGCCTTGCACTGCCTTGCCCTGTGGTCGTTGTGGGGAAGGGCACTGGCGGGGAGTGCCTGGGCTGTGGGGACGCAGTGGCGAGGAGAGCCTGGAGCTCCGCCCTGGGCCAGTCTTCCGAGCCTTGTCCTTCAAGGTGGAGGCTGGACACGTCACACACCCGGGGAAAGGGTGCACTGTGGTGACCCCGGCTGGGGACAGAGCGGGTGGGGAAAGGGATCTTGCCGCCTGTCCGTTCACAAGGCCCCCGAGGCACACCCACCAGTGTCCACGTCCGGCCCCTCGCCCATGTCCCACTCCTGGGCCTCACAACCCCCTCATCCCATCCCAAACTGGATGTCACTTTGTCCCCTGCCGTCACCCATGCTGTTCCTCCACCTCTTACATCTCCCTTCCAACCCCCTCCTTCCCTTCTCTCCCAGCAAAGCACCGGCACCTCCCCGCACGCCGTGTCCCAGGCTGGGGACAGCTTTGCTGGGAGAGAAGGAGCCGACACAGCCCTGTCCGACGGCGCCCTCTGTCGGCCTGATGGGGAATGACCAGGGCCAGGTCCTGAGGCTGTGGGCTCATGGGCGGGTGTGCACTCCTACACAGTCACCCCCACACAGGAACACACAGACACATGCACACTCACACAGGAACACACAGACACATGCACACCCACACATAAACACACCCACACATAAACACACAGACACATGCACACTCACACATAAACACACCCACACAGGAACACACAGACACATGCACACTCACACAGGAACACACAGACACATGCACACTCACACATAAACACACAGACACATGCACACTCACACATAAACACACACACAAACACAGACACGACATGCACACTCACAAACACACAGACATGTATATTGACGTGCACACTCACACATGAACACAGACATGCACACACACATGCACTCACATACACAGACACTTGCACACACACGAACAGACACATGCATACACTTGCACATCCACACGTGAACACAGACACGTGTGCCCACACATACACTTGCACACTCGCACACGCACACCCTTGCACACTCACGCACGAACACAGACACATGCACACTCACACTCATACATACTTGCATATTCACACATGAACACAGACGTGCATATCCACGTGCACACTCACATGCGCCAACAAGCACACTTGGATGCGTGCACACACATGCATGCTCACACACACATGCAAACGCGGGGTCGCACAACTCATAAATACACAAACACACACACTCCCACACACAACTGCAGCTAACCGGAGCCCCTGCTTCCCAGGCATGGAGGTGTGAGGAGAGGTGCCGTGGGCCCCGCTGCCTCCTCTTTGCTGTCGGCTGCCCTCAGGGCGCCAACCTGGCAGCAGAGCGGTGTCTCAGGCCCCAGAACACTAGTGAAGACCTGGGTCACCTGGAGGCACAATAGCTGCCTGGGAGCTCTGAAAATCCAGGCGTAGAAATGGGAGCTCCGTGTGGCCAGCATCAGGATCTGCTGGGGTGGCCTCGGGACCGGGTCTGAAGTCGCATGGACAGCACGTTCTGCCGTCTAGCAAGGCCCCAGGCGGGTGGGCACCGAGCGAGGGGACCTGTGTGCGGCTGGGTCTCCTGCCCGAGCCTGACCCGTGCTGGCCTGCATAGAGGCCTCCAGGCTCAGCATCCATCCACACAGGCCCTGCCACCCGCTTCCTCTCAAAATGACCGCAGGGCCTGGGTGCTCCTCCCCAGCCTCCCCAGGCAGGCTCCCTCTCGTTCCTGCCACGTCCCAGCCCCTCCGCCCCAGCCCGTGTCAGGAGCCGCCGGAGCCTGGAGCTGAGGTGGCAGAGGCAGGGTCGGCAGCCATGGCTGAACAGCTCCTGGAAGAAGGAGCCAGTGCGTGGGCGATAGAACGAGCAGCTGCCTCCAGCACTCTCTGTGGCCGCCCAAGGAGCCTCCATCCTGAGGTACGTGGGCGGGAGAGGGGAGGGGGGCTCCCGCAGCTCAGGCACTGGGATCCTGCAGAACTGCCCCTCAGGGTGTGGGCGGCATCTGGGCGGGGTGTGGACGCATCTGGGTGGGGTGTGGATGCATCTGGGTGGGGTGTGGATGCATCTGGGCGGGGTGTGGACGCATCTGGGTGGGGTGTGGATGCATCTGGGCGGGGTGTGGACGCATCTGGGCCTGTCTACCACAGACAACGACCTGCAGACCCTGCCGCCTGCTCCCCTGGAGCTGGGGGAGAGCGAGCAGCCCGCCCCAGACTCCCTGACTTCCGACCATCTTGGGTTCCAACATCCGCCTGAGGAAAGGCCGGGGTCAGCACCCAGAAGCTGCTGGGAGGGAAGGGGGACCTGCCCGCTGTGCCTGGGGCTGACCCCACATCCCACAGGACAGTCTCCCCTGGCCTCCACTCTGCAAGGAAGTGACAGGAACCTGACAGAGTCCAGCGGGAACCTTGGTCCTGCAGGACTGTGTGGCCAGAGGGGCAGCCCTTCTGGGGTCTCCACTCCGGTCCCCTGGGCCGGGCTGACTCCTCACTCTCAGAGCTTTTGTAGCTGGCTTTGGATTTTAGACAGTGCGAACTGGCTGGGCACCATGGCTCATGCCTATAATCCCGACACTCTGGGAAGCCATGGGGGGAGGGTCACTTGAGCCCAGGAGTTCAAGGCCAGCCTGGCAACGCAGTGAGTGGTGGGTGTGGTGGCGTGCACCTGTGGTTCCGGCTGCTTGGGAGGCTGAGGTGGGAGGATCCGCCTGAGCCAGGGAAGCTGAGGCTGCCGTGAGCTGTGGCTGTGCCACCGTGTTCCAGCCTGGGCGACGGAGCAAGACCCTGTCTCCAAAAAAATAAAAGTAGGTGGGCACAGCGGCTCACTCCTCTAATCCCCGCACTCTGGGAGGCCAAGGCAGGTGGATCACCTGAGGCCAGGAGTTCACAACCAGCCTGGCCAACATGGTGAAACCACATCTCTATTAAAAATACAAAAATTAGCCCGGTGTGGTGGCGGGCACCTGTAATCCCAGCTACTCAGGCGGCTGAGGCAGGAGAATCGCTTGAACTCAGGAGGCGGAGGTTGCAGTGAGCCGAGATCACGCCACTGCACTCCAGCCTGGAGGAAAGAGTGGGCCTCTGTCTCCAAAAAATAAATAAAATAAAAATAAAAGGTGCTAATTGCACACTTGTGTTCATAGATCCATCAATGGGTGAACAGATACACAAAACATGGCTCGTCCACGCAACAGAGTATTTTATTCAGCCTTAAAACGGAGAAAAATGCTGACACTTGCTGCAAAATGGGTAAAAGCCCAGCACACTGCTGAACGAAATCAGCCGGGGGCAGACCAGCCCAGGGCACCCCTCGCACTGGCTCCCAGCGCAGCCCCACTTGAAGTCGAGACACCAAGTGGAATGGAGCCACAGGAGCCAGCGTTGAATGAGCAGGAGCTTCGCTTTGGTGAGACGAGAACGTTCTGAAGACGGACGGTGGCGACAGCTGCACACCACGGATGTGCCTAATGCCACGGAAGCGTGCCCTGACAAACGGCTACAGTGGCGCGTTGTGTGTCATGTAGATTTAATGCAAGGTGAGGAGAGAGAAACTCACTCTCAACGCACGGGCCCCACCCCCGAACCTGGCGGCAGGCCCCTTTCCTGGGCCTGGCTTCACAGTCTCCGGACAGCAACTGCCAGGCTTCCGGAAGCCCCTCCTCCCCTGAGACTCCCCGGGGCGTCCAGCAGGGCTGGCCCAACCCTCTGTGGGGGAGACACTCCAGCTGTACCCGTGGGACCACAGGGTTAGGGCCGACTATAGGGGAATGTCGTGCTCACGTGGAAAACCACCCTGTGTCTTTGCACAGTACAGCTAGGCTGTCTGACTCCACGGGGGCCCATCCTGGGACATCGCTGTCCTCTGTGGACACGCAGGACCCACCGGCGAAGGAACGCCAAAACCGGCCTGGCTCTGCGGGCGCATTCACTCAACACCCCCGGCCCAGGAATGTGTCTGTTCCTGCGATTCTCCTTTGACCTGGTTCCAGCGTGTCGCCAGCTTCCTCGTGAACGAACTAGAAAAAGTCGTTAACACATGTTCACTCTTCAAAAGCAAAGGTTTCGGCCGGGCGCGGTGGCTCATGCCTGCAATCCCAGCACTTTGGGAGGCCGAGGCGGGCGGATCACAAGATCAAGAGACAGAGGCCATCCTGGCCGACATGGTGAAACCCTGTCTCTACTAAAAAATACAAAGATTAGCTGGACGTGGTGGCACGCGCCTGTAATCCCAGCTACTTGGGAGGCTGAGGCAGGAGAATTGCTTGAACCTGGGAGGTGGAGGTTGCAGTGAGCCAAGATCACACCACTGCACTCCAGCCTGGCGCCTGGTGACAGGGCGAGACTCTGTCTCAAAAAAAAAAAAAGAAAAAAAGAAAAGGTGTTAATAAAGTAACAACCTTCTTTTTGAAAAGTTAATAGTTATTACTTGAATCAGGCTTCCCGTGCTTTTCCACATTTTTTGGGTTTTTTCCCTCCATGTGGACATCTTGCAGGATGTATCATTAACTCATGAAACCACCAGTTCCTCAGGGAATGAACAGGGAGGTAGAAAGAACGCCAGAAAGGTGGGTCTGTGTGTTCAGGGGTGCACGGGACCCCCACCCCGAGTAAGGTGCCGACCATCCCTGGGAGGCAGAATCACCAGGCCTGGGAAAGCCGCGCGTGTTGGAGTGTCTGCGCCAGAGCTGTGCTGGGCAGGGCAAAGGAGCGCCCAGGCGTCCGCACAGTGAGACACGGTGAGTGCAGACAGCGGTGCCAGAGTCCCAGCGACGGGCAAGGGTCTCTAGCCCACCACCAACCCACTGCCCTGGGGGGTTCTGTCAGGCTGCTGAGAGACTCTGAGGCTGTGTCTAGATACGGACTACGTGGGAGGCTGGGCAGAGTCTGGAGACATTTCTGGGTGTTATTTGACTGGGAGGAGGGAGAGGGAGGGTAGGTGCTGCTGGCATGGGGTGGGTAGAGGCCAGGGAAGTCTTTAAGCCTCCTGCAGTGCACAGGATGGCCCCCACCATGGAGGACAGCCCACCAGAGACACAGCAAAGCGGGCTGGGGTTGGGGAGACTGCAGCCTGGCCCCCACCCCACATTAGCAGGCAGGCACTGCAGGGGGCTTGCTGGGACCACGCAGGACAGATGGCAGCGGGAATGAGGCTGTGCCTATTAACGATAACCCCACTCACCCCAACGGCCACACCAGCCTGTGAGGAGGGCAGGACCGAGCCCGCTGGCAGGTGGGGAAACTGAGGCCCAGAGAGCAGCGAGCCTGGTCTGGACCCAGGCTCACTCCCCCTCCCCCGCCAGTGGGTGTGAACTCCTCAAGAAGCCTCAGGCTCCACAGTGGTTTGCAGTCCTCTCTGCTCATGCGTCTGAGATGGAGTGACCAGGTCCCTCAAATTGAGTCCCCTCTGTCCCGGGGCTGCTGGCATCTGGGTCTGGGAGAGGCTGCGGGGTTGGGACCTAGAGGTCCTCGCGGGTGGGGCTCAGGTCCACCCTCTGGGCCTGTCCGAACACCAGGAAGGTGCACAGCCCCAGGTTGCTGATGATGGCCACCAGGTTGAACAGGCAAGTCCAAGAGCCCGTGGTCTCGATCAGGTAGCCGCCCAGACACACGCCCACAACACCTGCCCAAGAGAGGACCAGGCTGAGCGCTCCCAGGTAGCCCAGGCCCCATGCCCCAGCCCAGTTCTCAGGGCGGTGCCAGGGGAAGGGCTGGGGGGTCCAGCACCGGATAGAAGCCCCATGGTTCCCAGGGCTGAATTCGGGTGTCCCAGCTGCGGGTCAGGCTCAGAATTGGGGGGTCTCGGAGACACAGAGACATCACAGGCCATCTGGGAAATGGCCTCCTAAGGAGTCCCCCTTGTCCCGCTGAAGGGGATGTGAGAGCCACAGGCAAGCCCAGGTGTGGCTGGAGAAGGTGCCCCCATCAACCAAGGCACTCAGCGGGGCCAGGTGGCATCCCGGGGACCCCGGACTACCAGGATTGGACCATATCTGTGCGTCAGGGCAGACAGTGACCCATAGCCACCTGCCGTCAGCAAAGTCCAGGGGAACCTGGAAGGCGGCCATATCCTCCTCTCCCTGGGCCCACTCTGGGGTCTGTGCCCTCCCCTGACACCGGGGAGGCACACCCCCACCCTCCATCCTGCAGCACCTTGGTGGGCTCGAACCCCACAGACAGGGGAGCTCCTGGGTGCAGAGGCACACCCCTCACCTGCCAAGGCCCCAGCTGTGTTGGCCACACCTGTGAACAGGCCAGAGGGAGAGAGAACACAGACGTCAGCGAAAGCCCCCCGCCCAGAGGCCCAGGGAGGGGCAGAGCTGGGGTGGGCAAGGTCCTCACCAAACAGAAAGCCGGCGCAGGACGGGGCCAAGTCCTGGATGTTCACGGAAATGCCACTGCGGGAAGGAAAGAGGCTGTGAGCGGCCCCCACCAAGCTCACCCAGAGCTAGGAGCTGTCATGGGGAGGAGGCAAGCGAGGCCTGGTGGAGCCCTGGGAGGGCTGGGCCTGCTCCCTGGCCAGAGCCTCAGCCCTGCACACCTCCCCAACCCGAGCCCCAGCGCCCCTCTTCACGGAGAGCCTGGTGCAGGAAGCTGCTCCTGACAGCCAAGTGCTGCGGGGAAAGTGCGTTCCCAGGGTGCACAAATCCCGCACACACGCTGCTCACTGCTGTGAACCGCGCTTCCTAAATGACTCCCCCCATGGCCTCAGGGCAGCCGCTGCCCAGCAGCTTGGGAAGGGGGCGAGGTGCGAGAGGCGGACAGAGCTCCCTCTTCACGCATGTGGGCAGCACGGTGGCTCTGGTGGGCTCAGCGGTCAGCCCTCACCTGTGGTTGAAGGTCTGGAGGCAGATGGAGGCTGATGCAAAGACCACCGACTCACAGAAGCTCGAGGTGTGGCCCAGGCGCAGAGCAAAGACGCTGGAGAGACCAAGGCCCATGCCCTGCAGGGAAGCGCCACCATGACGGGCAGGCACCCGGCCACCTGCAGCTGTGCCCTCGCCCGCCCCGACCCAACCCGCCTGCAGCCGGGACTGCTCCTGATTCGCCTGCCCAACAGACCCCTGGGCACACTGTGCAAGGGTCAGGTCAGCTGGGACCCGAAACCTCCCTCGGACCAGGACCCCTAGAAGAGATCTGGGAGGAGGCTCCCCGTGAATCAACCCCACTCCAAGGGAGAGGCCCTATTCATCGTGGGCAAGCTCAGGCCGGGCCCAGAAGGGATGCTGACCCCAGCTTGCCCTCCAGCAGCTGTCTCCACAGCCTGCTCTGGCCCTGGTGCTGGGCACGTGGGGAGGCCTCACATTTGCCTGGTCCCAGAAATCAGGTGACTTGGGAACATAACCTGCAGTCCTGGGAGACCCTCAACAAAGCAGGGACATCTGGAGAGGACGGGAATGCTTCTCTTACCTGCATGAGCTTCCGCACCGTAATGGCTCTGTACCCTACAGGGGAGGCCAAGGAAGGGGCTCCTGTTAGCCCGTTTGTGCTGACGCACCAGACAGCGCCCAGAGGGGACCCCATCCCTATTGGCTGCAGAGGGAGCGGGGGAGGAGGCCTGGGGCGGCCCAGAGCAGCAGCTTGGACTCAAGACAGCTTTCGTGTGCTGCGGGTGAAAGCGTGCGCACACGTGTGTGTGGCGCATCCATGAGGCAGTACGTGTGCCCCTGGGAGGTTCCCAAGGCATGAGTTTGGGCAGAAAGCACAGAAGAACAGCCACGCGGCAGTTTCGGAGGCGGAAACGGGCGGGCAACCCACTTCCTGTGTTTCTCCAGATTTTAAGCTTTTCCACAATGAGTTTGTATTCTTTTTGCAATTAGGAAAAACATTCAAAGAATGTGCATGCGTGTGTGGAGCGAGCGTGTGGCCACACATGGGCCTCCGCCTGTGTGTGTCCGTGAGGAAGCCGTGCTGGGGAAGAAACACGCTGTCCACTTGGCCCAGCCCAGCTTGGCCTGGAGCACACGGAGCAAAGACAGACACTCTTCCAAAGGCTCCAGGACGCCTGCAGCCTCCGACCCACCCGGCGCCTTCCCGGAGGCACACGGCTGCATCTGGCCCCAGGCGAGCTCCACAGCCGCTGTGAGACCAGACCCTCTCACCACACTCCAACCTCACCCTTTAAGGAGGAGGCTCGGCCGGGCTCCATGGCTCACGCCTGTAATCCCAGCACTGTGGGAGGCCGAGGCGGGTGGATCACGAGGTCAAGAGATCGAGACCATCCTGGTCAACATGGTGAAACCCCGTCTCTACTAAAAATACAAAAAATCAGCTGGGCATGGTGGCGCGTGCCTGTAATCCCAGCTACTCAGGAGGCTGAGGCAGGAGAATTGCCTGAACCCAGGAGGCGGAGGTTGCGGTGAGCCGAGATCGCGCCATTGCACTCCAGCCTGGGTAACAAGAGCGAAACTCCGTCTCAAAAAAAAAAAAAAAA